AGGGATTGCACGAAGTTGTTAGTACAATTTAATTTGATTGTGGCACCCTGAAACGAAAATTGCCATTGTTGCATTCTAGGTTTTCAAAGCTCTCAATTTGGGGCTTTACAGCATAAGTAAAATTAGAACCAATGATACCCATGGCTGAAACCGTCTGAATGAGACGAAGACGTTGATACCCTCGCGCTCAATTTATCTTGCGTATAGGCCTAATCGTTATTTTTGGCAGTTTCATTTTGTGGGGGTTTAAAACCCCCGCTATTTGTTTATTTTTTTACAGGCCAACGAAGAAGATGACGTGCTGGCAATATGTGGTTGGTCTATTCAAATAATCTGCGCGCGTTTTTGCTTTATGGCATAATGATTTGGTTTCTTAATATATTATTTATTGATTATTGTATTAACAAAAGCAAGCAGGTGGTGGAGTTGGTAAGAAGCGTGTCCAATAACCATTGGGACCTGGGTTCGATTCCCAGGTCCCCCTAAGCGCGTTATATTATTTTTCTTCTCATACTTGCATGCAGCGTTCCAAGGTTGATACACCATATGCCCTCCAGGCATCATCATGCCAAGTGTCCACAACCCTCAATCCAGTGGTCAAAGAATGAAGACTATGGTGCTCATGAGTCAATGCAGGCGTGGATAATCAGGAAGGTCAACAAAGGCTTTGAGCTATTGGGCCAGAACTGCTTAACTTTTACCTCCCACGGGCCATCAAACCCCCCTGGTTGATTTTTTCTTTTTCTTATTTTCTTTTCCTTTTGATTCTTTTAATTATTATACTTATTATTAATTCATAAATTAAATATTTTTCATATAAAAATCAGAAACTAATATTGTAATTATTATTTATTATTTTCACTATTAGTAATTTATTTTGTAAATAAAATGTAAATTAATTTAATTAGTTAAATTAGATTAACTTTAACCTTTTTTATTATAAATAAAATAAACTTAGAATTAGGTTTCATTAACTTTTAATTTTAATTCCTTTTTCTTTTTATTTTCATTAAAAACACAAAAAATATTTTTCTTGTAAATAATTAAGTAATTAATTGGTATTAGGTTTAATTTTAATTAATTGCAAAAAAGGAGAAACCACAATTTCTTTATTTCTCAAAAGGGTCAAAAACCCTAAGGACGTCCTGATTTAATTTCTTTGCGCACATTTATTGTTAATTCTATTTTTGATTATTATGTATCTGCTCAAAGGATGTAATAGTAATTAGGATTTACCGCTTTCTTTACTTTTCGCACTTATTTATCAAAACGGGTTTTTGTTTTTGGCGATGTATAGACCCACGCCTTGTAATAGCGTAGATTCATATTTCCGCACTTTATTTTCCGCACTCTTAACTGTTAATATACATGCAAGAATGAATGCCAAATAAAATCAGTCCGTAGCTCACAAATGCATGATTAAAGATAAACATAACATGAAAAACAACACACATGCACACGCCACTCCTAGGGTACGCCTCACTGGTTGCCTCGAACGTGGTCGTCAAGTATAGGGTGTTTTAGAGGTTGCCCTCCTGTCTAAAGATCCAGTTGCCTCGAAACGGTTGCCTCGGATAAAAAAAGGATCTAGGACATTAGGGTTACTTCTAAGGTGTCCTACTATTGCTTCGGTGACCACACTGTCCCTAATAATCGAATTGACCCGAACACCTCCAACGACGATGCTACCTACCTCTCAATAGGGAGATAGCACTATCTAAAGGACTCTTACACAGCCTAATTCCTTAAGAGTAGGTAGATCTCATGGGTACTTGCTCTCTCAAAACAAACAAAACAACTTTTCACACTCACACTTTCAAAAAGTTTTCAAACAAACACTTCATACACTCTTGAGGACTGATACAAGAGTTACTTAGAAGTTTTTCAAACGAACTTTTTCAAAACACACCCACACTTGAAAAGCAAACAAATTTTGAAAACATAAGAGCAAGTACCTAAGAGCCCGTGGATAACCACGGATAGAAAGGGCGCTAACACCTTCCCTTTCTATAAATCTACCTCCCGAACCGAGAGACATCTCGAATAAGGAATTTTGCTGTGCTTTTGTCCTTTCCATGTTGGAGAACATAAAAGACGGTGGTGACTCTTGCTTACCGCGACATTTCACGAACCAGCTTTAAAACAGTCAGTTCTATTTCCACCGATCACACTATCCATTTTAGTAGTTGGCATGCCATAAGGTTGGTCTCGACCCATCCAGGCTGTCGAAAATCCTGGGGGAGCGTGTGGTCGAAATCCTGGATTCACCCTTGTGGGGGTGTTCCTGTTGGACCTTTGGGACCCGCATACGAAAGTATTGGTCCCGTTTGGGTTGCTGTTAATGTTGTTATCGAACCAACAGTTGACGAGACAAATTCACTAACGGTTGGTATTACCGCTGTTCCCGTAGTAATTGGTGGAGGTATTTCTCCATTATTTGGCTGATTAGCCATATTTCTTTCACTATTTCTCTTTCTAGTTGTAAACTCGTTGGTGGTTACTTTACCACTTCTTAATAGCATGCAAAACTTTTAAAAGAAAGAAAATCATGCGAAGCATTTATATTAAGATTAATGGGCACAAACGGAAAACGAAATAAATAAAGCAGCAATAATTAACAAGGTCCCACCAGGTGTGCCAATTTGTTCACCGTGTTTTCTGGTGAACAACCGCTGATCTTCCAAAAAGGGTAACTTTTTGGTTACTCGCAGGATCGATCAGTTTGATCCTAGGACATATGCTAATTTTTTATGTTATTTGGACATAAACGTTAATGTGGATGAAGAACGCAAGTTCAACTGGGAAAGGGATGAGTTTGAGTGCGGAAAGTAAATAGAAATAAGGGGTTGAGGAGAGGTTAGGTGCAAGAATTTGGGTAAAAGTGCAGATAAAGTGCAAACAAGATAAAGAGGCAAGAAATGTAAAGAAAGAAAGAAAAGACTTTGATTGTAAAATATGGTGTTCAACTGATTGTACAAATTATTCAATACTATTCAAGTATCCGCTGCGTGAGAAAGAATACTGAAAAATGTACGTTTGAAACACCATATTTTACAATCAAAGTCTTTTATTTCTCTCTTTACATTTCTTGCCTCTTTATCTTGTTTTCACTTTATCTGCACTTTTATCCAAATTCCTGCACCTAACCTCTCCTCAACCCCTTCTTTCTATTTACTTTCTGCACTCAAACTCATCCCTTTCCCAGTCGAACTTACGTTCTTCACCCACATTAACGTTTATGTTCAAACAACATAAAAAATTAGCATATGTCCTAGGATTAAACTGATCGATCCTGTGAGTAACCAAAAAGTTACCCTTTTTGAAAGATCAACGGTTGTTCACCAGAAAACACGGTGAACACGTGGTGAACTATACTTTGGTGGAATAGAAAGAGTCATATGATGTGTTTTTCCAGTATCTATTCTTTGATGAATAAGATGATGCGGTGATTGTTTTAGTATGATATATGTGCGTACAATAAACTGTTGATGCTATGATATGTTGTTTTGTGTTATGAAATATGTGTCGATATTTATGATGATTATATTAATGATTATGTGTTTTGACTAGCAGTGGCCGTGTGATTATTAAGATGTTTCACATCATGCATTCATGGAATATGTTAGGGCATAACCCACTGATGGTTGTATGACGTTGTTCTAGTGAATTTTGTAGGACAGACAATCCAGTGATGGCCTCAATCCCATAGTGTGGATTGAGTTCAATTTGTGATGTGATACGATTCCAAGTGGGAATTGATCCTATTGGCGGGGATCTTTGGAGAAATGATGACAGTGTAACCAGTGAAGTTTTGGTACCACATGCAGGAATCTAAAGAAGTTGCATTGCATTATATATGGCATTGCATGATGATTTTATTGACTGGTGTTTTGTGGATGCGTGTTTTTGATAATTGTTAATTGATGATATTATCATGTGTCTGATGCGTATTATGATGTTTGAAGGTGTGAGTATGACATGAGGTTTCTTTGGTGTTGTATCATAACTACTATATTTACTCCTTATGTCTTTTATAATGATTATGATTTACTCACCCTTGTTGCTTGGAAATGTTGCCTCTATACGTGGCTAACTTGCAGGTAATCAAGAATAGTCCGTTGAGGCTTAAAGGATAGCTATGGAGTATGTTCTTTATTTCCTGTAGAATAAAAGAGGTCTTGTTTTGATATGTAACATCAGAGATATGATCGTTTGTCTGAATAACCATGTTACTTTGTTTATTTTGAGATTTGAACTACCTTGATGGTGTCATATCTCAAATTTGCCGATCCTTTATTTCTACGATCGAAAAATATTTTCAAAACATTGGTTTTATAATATTCTTTGATTTTTATAAACATTCAAAATTGAGTTTATTTACAAATCAGTAACATAACACAATTGATAAATAGTGAAACTTGCAAGAATAAGGTCACGGGTTCGAATCTCTTGTGTCGCACTTTCAAAATTTTCTTTTTTCTATATTTTGTCACTAATTTTCTTTCTTTTTTTGGAAATCAAACTTTAGACTTTCTTTTGGGCTTTTGGATAACTTAGTCTCTAAGTTTTTGTTAACTTTGGATTATATTCTTTTTTTTAACTTGTATTAGCTTATGATGCTGAAATTTTCTTGGTAAATATACTGAGTCCTATTTTTAGATCTCTGAGAATTAAGTACTTTTTGACATCAATTTTTCAAAATTCACGTACAACATCATCACTTCTTTATCAGTACTATTCTCTAATGTGCCTTTTCTAGTACCAAGTAACAATTTGTACATATAAACCAACACCATAACTCATAAACCTTTATTTGAATTCCTCATTACTATCACATCCTAATAACCTGCAAAATTGAAAATTAAGTTAATATCCCAATTTCCAGTAACAGTTTTCAAACCATAATCACAGCATCATGTTCATTACACGAACACATCAATAAAACAGAATAAAAAACAACGTCACTAATCAAAAAGCTACAATTAATCGAAACAGGTTTTATGTTTGTGTTTGTTGTTGTATACAGATCGAAAAATAGAGAAAGAAGAAGAGAAACGATCCGTCGCAAGAACAACCATCGTGTGCGAGGGATTGTTAATGACGTAACCGGCGGCCACTGTGAAGCCACCTCTGTGCAAACCGCAACGAACAACAAGCTACCGACCCTACCCGCATCCGTCTGCCCTCCAAATCGCGAACACAGCCCAAGCTCCACCGCGAGAAACCCACAACTCTAGCGATAAGACCCCTTCTCCCGTAGCAGAGAAAGAGAGATGGGTCGTCGGAGAGAGGAAGGGATTTTCTTTCTCTTTTTTATTCTAACCCTTATGTATTACGTTGTACTATTTTTTTTGTTTTTTTATTTTGTTTCTAATACCACGTGTCAGTCTTAAATTGGTTGATGGAGCATTTTAAAAAAAAAAAATCAAAGATGACTCTACTTACAAGAGAACCAGCGGCACTTCCTATGCTCTCAACAGGTTTTTTATTTTTTATTATTTGTATTGTATTGTGGACAATTTAGGGTTTTAGCATCATGGGCTTGGGCCTTTAATCTCTATATTCTAATTTTCGCCCTTCTTTGTAATTTAATATTCCTTTAGAATTTTCTAGTCTTGGTTAAGTTATTTAATTTTCTTTTAGTTAATCAATTTAAACCCCCTTTTAGACTAATTAGGTTAATTATTTGGTTAGGTTAATTAAACTAATTATTTGTAAACAATAATTAATGTTTACATAATAATTTTAATTAATTTAATATCTTCTACCAAAATATTAGAACCCACACATTTGAGTCAAGTTTAATTTTTGAACTTGAGCCCTTTTTATTTACACCGACCTGTGTTTTGGGCTGAGTTCAATTTCTGAACTTGAGCTCTTAATATCAATCAATTCAAAACAGATAACCAACATTTTCAAACCATTTTTTCCTACTAACATAACAAAACTCAAGAACATTTTCAAAAAAGGATTAAGGAGAATTATTTTTAAAATTAACTGCGAACCACGTCTACGCTTAATCAATTTTCAACCCTGAAAAGGTTCAAGGATAGTTCAAAAATGATTCTACGCATTCTTATAAAAAACACCAACCCATCGCAAACTACGAAATGGGACTCTGATTCCTCCTAAGAGGATACTTCTTAAAAATTACGCTTCTAAACCTAGTATCCTTGTGAACAAGGTAGATGAGGGGTACCTAACACCTTCCCTTCGTCTAGAACCGAGTCAGACCTAGAATCTCTAAACTTTTTTAGAATTATTCCTTTATATTCCCTTCCTTAGGATAAAAATTAAGGGTGACGACTATGTATTTTTAAAACTAGTTGCAACAGTTGGCGGCTCTGTTGGGGACTCAACCCTAGATTTAGAAGTCTCTCCTTTAGGTTTTAGGGTTTTTCTTATTTTTTTGGATTTTATTCTTTCTTATTTATTTATTTATTTATTTATTTCTTGCTTATTTCTTACTATTATTCATTATATTTATTTATCTGTGGTGGGATTTAATTTTCGCAAAAAATATTTTCAAAAAAAAAAAACTTTAGAAAGAAGGTTCGTCCATTAGTCAAGGGGTTACATCAACCCTATGAGTTTATGTGACGACTACGCCTAGAGTCGGTAGAATTCTGCAAAAGGGATACCTCTCGAGAGACATCCTCTTGGGAAGTAGGACTTTGGAATGACACCTATGACTCTTTGTACAGCCTAAACCACAAACTCATGATGAGACCTTCCATGACCTAGAGACGAAAGTCTCGGTCTATAAAAAGACTCCACTTAAGAGAGGCCATATGCCTTTCCCTATAGTGTTATTCATGATACCCTTAAGGAAACCACCTTATTGGAAGAGTGGAATATCTATAGGTCAAAACTAAGAGTCTACATTCTAAGGATACCTTTCACAAATCCCACTACAAACTATACACCCGCAAGGGTTATCTTTCCTTCTACTACTATCTCTAACTCGTAGGGCTTCTGTCTATGTCATAATCCCTATCCAGTAGGGACTCCTCATCGTCTTTCATTTGTCATAATCCTTAAGGAAATCTTGCCTATCTCAATCTCTGAGATAATGTAGGATATCATCAAATCTATATCTATTATTTCTGTTCGTAAGGAGTCCCTATCTGTCTCAACCTCTGATTCAGTGTAGGATATCATCATGGCTATCATTAAACTTGTATAGGATACCCCTGCGTCTACCATCATACTACGTCTTCATGACATTGCATATCCATGAAACTTTATGCGTCCCTAAAAAAATATTTTTGCGCACCCAAGCATTTTTCATACATTTTCATCCATCTGCATAAATCTCACATCTCTTCCATTCACATAAAACTTCCACCCTTATCCAACTGTGATCCAGCTAGCAAAATTCCCGATACTCATAATCGAACTCATAGCATGTCTCAAGAAACCATTGAGGAACTTAAAAGAAGCCAAGAACTGTTGAATAAGGAGGTCCACCAGTTGAAAACTCAAATGAACTTGATCATGCAATTATTACTGAGGAGCGAAGGTAGCCCTTCATCATCCTAGCCCTGAGCCTATTCAACACCATAGATGCCATCACCATGGGGAGTTACCCCACCTCAACAACAACTACAACAACCCTATCAACAGAAGGGATATGTCGAACAAAGAGGAATACAAAAACTACCACCAAGGATATTTGATACACTTCCCATACCGTATAGTCAGTTACTACAACAATTACTCAAGACATCTTTGGTAGAGCGGAAGTCAGTGAATCCTCTGAACGGGACACTCCCGCCTAAGTATGATGCAAATGCTAGGTGCGAGTATCATGCCAACTCTCTAGGACATACCCTTGAAAGATGTTGGAGTATCATACACAAGGTCCAAGATTTGATGGACAATAAGAAATTGACTTTTGAAGAAGGGATCCCATTGGTGAACAGTCACCCCTTGCTTTAACAAATCCAAAGACTAAGAAGAATCCCCTAAAGTCAATGGATCAACAAGGGGTCTTATCTCTAGATCATTAGGACTTTATTATTTCAATTTGTGATTTCCTGGTTGTTATTTTTCATCTGCTATAAATTTGTATCTTTGGATCAATAATTCTAATAAAATAATCATGCATGTTTTTGAAATCAATCCATTCCACAAATAATAAATGACTTTCTAATCTTATTTTATATCTTCCATTGCATAACTTTAACAAACTTTGATGGAGAATGATGAAAATACAAAATAATTGAATTTCACTGACGTATGGTTTTTAATAGTAAAGCTTAGTAGACGATGTAAGACAATGTTTCACTTCCTAATCAGTGGAGAAATAACGAGTTAATCTGTAGTTAACCCCCTCGAGCCAGAAGTTGGAGTTCTTTCTATTTTCAAAAACCCTTAATTTTTAACCAAGGGAAGGGTAGATTTCAATTAATTCATAGATGCATTCTAATTTCAAGAAAATCAGTCTATCTACGCAAAAGGTTCAAGCATATCTCCTCCCTCGATACATCATTGAGGAAACAGTCTAAGCAAAGGTTCAAGCATATTTCCTTCCTCGATACATCATTGAGGAAACGATCTAAGCAAGGGTTCTATCACATCATCTTCCTCATGCACATCAACAAAGATTAAGGAAGCAATCAATAAAGATAAAATCCACGACATCTTCTTCCTCAATACATCATTCAAAATCGAGGAAAACAATGAAGACGAAGCTTACAAAAATCAGCGTGGTAGCCACAAATTTTCAAAATCAAAACCAAAAAAAAAAGTAAATTAAAAAAAAGAGAGACCTCTAAGTCAAAAAGCAAAAAATTGTTGACTTAAGCAAAAGTTAGGGCATCCAGATGGACCAGAAATTCAAAGGAATCGGCCCATGCAAAAATAAGGGATTAAAACAAATAAATTGGAGAAAAATATTGTGACTTCCACCTCAAGAATCATCAAGGATTCTCATAAACACTTGGGTCTTATCAATGCTTGGATCCTATCAATGCTTTTCATCAATGCTAGGATCTTTATCTACGCTTATCATCATCTGCGCAACTACGAAATTTCTCTTGGAAATTAAATGCATTTGTTGCATTAATTGAAATTAGGGTTGGAGAACATAAATGAGAATGGGTTAGGTTAATTAAATTTTGAGCCTTATATCCTTTGTTTCTTAAATCACGAACCATGGCCATGTTACAACCTTCAAAAGTCCTAATTGAAGCTAGGTTCACTATGAAAGCATACTCGGCAAAGTTTATGTTAAACCGACTCCTATGTTTGTTAAAATTATTTCTTACTAACCACTTCTTCTAATATCCATCTATAATCATCCATTTCATCTCCATAATTAATTTCCATTTCAAGGACTTGGATGTGAATCACATTAGAATTACTTTTCAAAATGTACAATTTTATCTACGAATCAATACTTAGCATCGAGGAGATTTCAAAAATTGTCTGATCAAAGGCAGCATTGTCAAGAAGCTTCTAACTAGGGGGCAAAGCATCAAAGAGAACCCATATAAACAAGGGAAAATACTAATGATCGTAGGATTATATCACATGAAGATACTATTGACAAGGGGTGATTATTCTGAAATTCAATCAACTCGGATCAAATATCAAAGCACAGTTCAATCAGGGACATACCTTTCGAAGGAGCATTCCTTAATCAAGTCATATCACAACAGGGTATAACCCGGTTTCCTCGTTTTAACAAAACTCTAATGGCCTTGATAATCAGGGGAAAACTTCCAATGTTGGGGCAGTACGTACTGTTGTACCCCAATTTTCCCCCCTAAAATCCCTTCATCATACCATGTTGATTCAATCACAACAAGATCACATTAGGGCTTTTGGTTCTTCTCCCTATCTTTAGCTTTGCTCTTTTGAGGAGTTACCAAGAACCTTGACTTGTTTTCTTTTGTGATCATGAATATTTTTTCTTTCTAATTAATAAAATGCAATGTTGGTTTGTCTTACTTGTTAATAATGTAGGTAAAGGCAATGAGGTTTAGCAGGTTGCTTCATGGGTTCATGAGTTTATTTCCATGCCCTAGTCAACATAGCTTGAGGAGTTAAAAATTCACTATTAGAGTGGTAGTGGAAGAAATGGCATGACAAGGCTTATTTTGGTCTAACATATTTCAAAGTTATCAAAATTGATTTAAAAGTACAAGGGGTTGAGGGAAGAAGTTGTCATGATTGGACAAGGTTTTGTTCCTATTGGTCACAAGAGCACATTTCTCTCAAATTTCAAGAT